CCCCCCCGTCTTTCCATCTATCCCTCTTTTTTGTTTTCCTCCCCCAATGATGCCGCTTGAGCTACAGATCTGGGCTTGGTTTGACCCTCGTCTCGAACAACAGTGATGCTCCAGTCTGCTATGATCAATATGCTGCTGATAGATGGCTCATTCTCTGGATGTGTTTGAACACGCAGCCAGCCTCTAGCATGGTTAAAACTTTAGGAACCCACACTTTTGTTGGCATGTTTTCCTCCTGAGTGTGTGCACCCAAGGGTAAACACCAAACTGAACGACAAAGAGCCAAGCATAGAATTGCTCACTCCCTCTCTCTGAAAGGGTCTGCCTTTTTTTTCTTTCTTTTTTTTTTCCCCCTCTTCACAACAGTCACTCCCTCTTCCTCTATTTCTTATGATTTCGGTGTTGTGAAACCTTTAAGAGAGAATCTGAAGTTACAGGATAACTCAGACCTACCTCACAATGGGAATCTACGTGCTCCGTTCAAGAGGCGTTCCCTTGATGATTTTGACGTTTCTCCAGACAAATCCTGAACTCTTGTTCATAGTAACATGAAAACTTTTGGAATAAACACTGTGTGGGACTCTCCACAGAGCCCTAATAGATCCCACCTCCCTGCATTCTGTCTGCTGAACTCTGGCACTCTACACTCTTAATTTCTTTCCATTGTTGTTTCAAACACTCGAGGCTACATTTCTTTCCCCACCCGTGGCCCTTAGGATGTGTTTATCACCCACTCTCACACAAACTAGCTTTGACTTGGTAGATATGTGGTTCTGGAGACTGGTGAGAAAACTCTTTCCCCTCTCAGCAGGCTGGATGAGGGTCTCCAGTCATTGTGGAGTAGGTGTCAGAGGATTGGGACACCTTGTATAGCTAAAGACAAAAGGAGGAGAACAGCAGTGTAGGGATTGGAGGATTGGGATTGTTTGTCTGTCCTAGAGGGGTTTGTGTTGGTTAACTGGGCAGGGCGTGTTTGCCTGCATGTTTGCTGCGCAAGCAAGCTGTGTGTTTTGGGGTACCAGAGAGGTGGACTCTGTCATACCTCTCTTGCCGTCTACCAGACTGAGTCAGCTGTAAGAATCTTGCACAGTCCAAGGCCGAATGAGGGAGGAGAGAGTGCTGGAATAGATAAATGACCAAATTGGTTTGTGATACTCCCTCACATGCACTAATGTTGTGGCAAAGATGCACAATCGAGAAATTTCAGACGATATCCAAAAAACGACTCGCATAGAGGAACAGCATTGTAAAACTTGGGGTCTCTTGTTACAATTTTTAACAATTTATATTTGGAGTAAAGCCATGTTGTGTGTGTGAGAGAAACAAGTTGCTGCTGTATATTAAGACAAACTAGTTAGAGTTGATATTTTAGGTCATCTTTAGCATGACTCGGTGGTAGCTTTGCATAGTGTTCCTTATTAGTTAACTACCTTGTTTTATATATCATATTTTGTTTTTATGTTTTCCATTCGACTGAATAAGTTGTCTTATATTAGCGATTAGCACAATCAGTGTTACTGAACATCAGCTTAAAATCTATTTCTGTTTGAAGACTCAAGAGAATGCAGACCCTTTCTTTACCTCTTGAGGTTTCCAAAAGGCTGCCAATGTATAGTTGACCATTCTGATGGCGATATTATTGACATCACTACACCATTTGTTACCCAATCATCTGTGTTGCCGGATTTTTTTGTTGTTGTTGTGATCCTTCACACCCTGGTTTGGGTCAGACGCAAGGTATTGCAAGGTAAAAGGTACCGCCATATTGTAGTCCCAACATCTCCGACTTCTTTCACTGGAATACTGTTAACTTGGGTGAGTCGTCATTGCCAACTCCGAATTTTGACTTCCAATGGAAGGCATCATAAATCCAGCATGCTCCGTGACACAGAGGCTGATAGTTTAAAGAGAAAACAGCATCGTTTTGCTGTACTTTGAGTCTTACTGTCTCTCCAGCTGGAAGACTAAGTTTGCCAGCCAACATTTTGAAGTATTTTCTTGCATCTCTAAGAGCTGAAAACAGCCAACTTTGAGTCTTGGCATAGAAGGGTGTTATAAACATAACCAGGTGGGTCTTGGATTATTGGTTAAGATCAGATTTTGTCATTTCTCCTTCTGAGCCAATGACGCTTTCTCAGTGTCTAGGTTTTGCTCCGTTTTCTCCAAGTCTCCCGGGTCTGTCATCGTTCTCGTCTACCTTCTGGAATCACGGTTGGGTTTCATTGCCTGGAGGAGCTGATCATTTTCTAATCATGTTTGTTCATAGCGGCTAATGGAGAGCCTCACAATGGTGTTATCTCTTTGTGTAGCTGTAATTAGACTTAGCTGGCAACATGTGGAGTTCAGAAGATTTGCTTCAAAGAGGATTAATAAAATGACTCAGCTACTTAAATGTGTTAACTAAAGCAAAATCCCTGTGTGTGTGTGTGCATGCGTGTGCGTGTGTGTCAGAGGAGTGGCCTGTGTGCGCAGTTGTCTGGTGTTTGCGTGGTAATTATGACTAACATGACGGTGTGATTTTGCTGTCCTCTCTCCTAGGTGACATCACACAGAAGGGCTATGAAAAGAAAAGAGCCAAGTTGCTGGCCTCCTACATCCCTCAGCTGCCAAGTAAGACCGGTTCTTCATTCTTTCTCTGCGATTATTCCTCATGTTAGATCTGAGATGTCCTTCCTCCAAAGTCTTGTTATGACCTCTTTGCTATTTTTGAGGCAAAAACTTGATGTAACTGCATCAAAGTGAACTCATCAAGTACTCATTTCCCCAAATTGAAAGGTTAAAACGTTACGGTAGTTTACTTAAAACGTGACATGTTTTACATAAAGCAACCTTTATTGTTTTTCATGTTGAGTTGATTTATAAAAAAAATGATCTTTTTTTGTGTGTGTTTTAAGTATTTTCCCTTTTAGTCCAAAGGAATTTCTGGATTTCTGTGGCCCCCTAGTGTCGAAAAGTGAAGCTGCATTTTCCATATGAACAGGCAGCCTAAGAAGAGCAGGAAGCTCTACAGTCAAATCAGCATTTCTTTTTGTCTTTGTTTCTACTAAATTAAGTTTCTCTAGGGACTCAAAACAAAACAAGTTTATAAAGTTTTTATAAGGATGTAGATTTTTTTGTAAGTTGTGGTTAAAAAAACAACAGTTTTTTCAACAAAGAAACACCCCACATAAAGGAAAAAAAAATCTCATAGTTTGCTTCCTGGTGGCATTGTTTTGCTTCTCTCTACTATTGATTTCATTCAGATGTGGAAATTGTTTGCAGATGTCACATGATGACACATAGAAAAGCCAGCATTTTATGTTTTAAAACACTGCTCATTCCTATGCCGGTTATTAAAAGCCGCTGTGGAGGCCATGATATGTGTCACAGACCCCCGCCCTAATCGTGCTGCCGTTGTTGATGGTTCACAACATTTCAGCCACTTATCTCAAGTTGGTTTTGGATCATAGTTTCCTCACGCTACAGTGAGACTTGCTGATTCGAAATCCAATCTGCTGAATGTCTTTTATTAGCTGCTGCTCAAAAGGGTGTCGTTTCCTTAGGAAGAACTGCACCACAGTTAGCAGCAGCATGGAAAAATGTCCTGTTTTGATGCTTCATTCTAAGCTATGTCATGTTTAAAAAGAAACACTGAACTCACTTTTGTTTTTAGTTCATCCTTGGCCTCATTTAGCTTGTGCTGCCACCTCATTCTTGCTGAATATTCATGCCCAAAGGCAATGAGAAGACCTATATGAATCTAAATTTGACTGCTCTAGTACTTGAAGCATATTTCTTAAAGTGACGGTTGCGTTCTGTTGTGTGGGTTTATAGTACTTGTTTAATGTCAGTGCAAATAATAGAAAGCCTTGTTTACCTGAGAATTAACTTTGTTTTGCTCAAGATGTCTCTCAAGAATTATTTTATTCTCAAACTATACAGTCTATATTGCATTTACTCCATTTAAGTATAAACTGCATCGCTAACGATGCTGTGTTATTGTTACCTACATGTTGCCATGGTATTATGCAAAGTGGGTGTGCATCCTGTCTGTGTGTAGCAAGGGTGACTTCACTCATTTGCCTTTCGTACTTTTGCAGCTTTAATTTATTTTTTTATTTTTTTCCACATGGCTTTTTTAGTTCACAAATGTTCAATTTTAGGGTCTGGAGCAAGAACATATTTCATATTTAAATTCTTAAATGTAATTTAAGTCTTAAATATACCCAGATGTTCAATACTAGGTCTAAAATTAAGTGTTAAATTTGTAATTTTCTAATACTGGTAAAAACAATTACCATACATAAGTAAAGGTAATAAAACCAATTTAAACAAATGAAAATAAATTATTTCAATACATTTCTAATAAAATACATGAAATAATATAAATACAAATAAATTAACACAAAAAGGCCTTCGAGTCACATGCTGAAAGCTGTTATATTTAACATACTTTTAACTTTTATCAAACAAATCCGTAATCAAGTTTCTTTGATGTAAATGTTTAAGTCCCTTTGCCATTGACCTTTTATTCACAGTTTATTTAGGCCTTTTATTTAAATAAAAATATCTTCGAAAACCACCAGAAGTCCTAAATTTTACTTACAAAAAAAAAAGCCTATATTTAACTTACACATATGTGTCGTACTTTTCTGTAACCTGCTCAGATGTTTGGGGAAGGAACTATTTGACTATATTTGATAAATGTAATGTGTTATTAGCCAAAGGTCAGTCAGGGTTGTTTTGGTTTAATCAGGGGTCATGATGATCTGTCTCAAGTCATTTGGTTCGATTTTTATTTATTTATTTTAAAAAAATAATCATTTATGTCCATAATTCACAAGAATCAAGAGAAATAAATCAACATTTATTTGAAACTGTTCACTCTCTCACATTTACTTACTTACCTCTGTTTTCTAGAAGCGGACCTTTCTCTGCCAGACGTCCAGCCTTCCCCAAGCCACAGTGCCAACCCCAGCCCAAGTCCTGAGGCCCCGGGCCCCTCCACCTCCTCAGCCTCTAGACACCATCGTGCACATCGCAGTGGAGGGGCCAGAGATGAGCGCTACAGATCAGGTGCAAAGCTCACTACTGTTGCCTCACAAACTCTGCAAAACACCGTCAAGCACAATTGAGGCCGTTAATGCACTGTTTTGTCTTAATGCCTCGCCCTGTGAATTCTTTCTGTTTAGACATCCACACAGAAGCTGTGCAGGCGGCTCTGGCTAAACACAGAGAGGAGAAAATGGCGCTGCCCATGCCGACCAAGAGACGCTCATACTTCGTCCAGTCTCCCATAGATAACTGCACACCTCCAGGTAGGATTAAATGCCTCTTTGTTTGGATGTAGCAGCTTAAAAATACGTTGGCTGAGTAGCCAGTTAGACCACAGATAAACAAAAATGTAAGCGCGAGGAGCTATAAGGAACACAAAGTCAGATATTTGGGATTACTGACCAGACGGATGTGGTAACCCACAGGACGCTGCTACTTTTAAGGAACTCATGAACTCAACTGATTCTAAAGTAAGATTCAAACTGAGATGATGGATTATTGGAGAAGCGCTGGGCCTACAGCTTCAGCAGTGTGTGTTCAGGTGAATGAGGGTAGGTGAGACTCCATAAGCACCAAGAAAGAAGCCTCATTCGTTGGGCAACAAAGTTATATAAGAAGTTAACAAGATTTATAGTGAAAATGAAGAAGAAACAAAACACTTAAACAGCAGTCAGAAATGCCTGATGCATTTGACCAATTGCCTCACCCTAATTCCTGATCCTTTAACTTTTTTTTTTTGAGCCATTGTTGAAAGTAGGAAATCCTATTTTCAGTTTTACTAGAGCCTTGCTGAAGATGCAGGAATCGCATGTAATGACTTGCTCTGGTCACATGAAACAAATTAAAAATTTTTGGTCTACATGCAAAATGGCACATATGGTGGAAAAACAACACATCGCAGTGAAAACGCCGTTCCTTCTGGACTTTGGAGGAAATGGATGGAGCCAAATATGGAGCTGTAAGAAAACCTGTTGGGTTACGGACAAGCCTAGTGACTGGGGTTCAGGACAAACTTAAACATTCAGAACTACATTGGAGTGGTTCAGATCTGAGCATGTTCATGAGTTAGAACGGCCCGGCAAGCCCAGGTATTAATCCAGTTAAGCTCCTGTGGCAAGGCTTAAAAATAAATGTTATCTATCCAGTCTAAGTTTGAGCCGTCTTGCGAAGAAGAACGGACAGAGTTTTCCATCTCCAGATGCACAAAGTTGGTAGAGACGTAAGTCTTGCATGTAAAATGGTGGTCCTGGAAAGGATTCACTTGGGCAAGCTGAACACGGATACAAACAACGCAGATTTTTTGTAAAAAAAACAACAACAAAAAAACAACATTAAAAGAGAATCTAAAAGTAAATTTTTTTCTTGTTCTCAGATACATCCTCTGCATCAGAGGATGAAGGCTCGCTGCGCAGAAAGGCGGCTCTCAGCGCCGTGCTCGCCCAGACCCTCCAGAGCTCCGATTACTGGATCAACCGCTCCGTCCAAAGCTCTTCCACTTCCTCGTCTGCTTCCTCCACCCTCTCCCATGGAGAGCCCAAGACTCAGCCTCAGCCCCAGCTTCAGCCGGGGGTCTCGGTGCTGGCCGACGTCCTGGCCCACACGCGCATAGGTACACCTCAGCCGTGGAGACGGCGACGACGATTTCATGGTTAAAAATCCATTGATCAGGTTTCGTCAGTGATGCTTTCCGTGATCCCCACCGATAGAAAACAGCGTCCCCCCAGACGTGACCTCCTCCACTCCACAGGAGAGAGGAGGATCCAGAGTGGACCTTCCTCCAGCCATCAGGGGCATGAGCCGCGGTCAGAGCCGCTCCAGCATGCTGGATACAGCTGACGGTACACTCACACATGCCAGGATCTGTACGAAATGCCCGTCGAGGGACTCGTATGGGGTCAAATCTGGAACCTGGGCTTACTGTCGTCTGGTTCTTCCTTTAATTTGTGGGATTTGCTATTGGTGGGATTTGCTATTGTCATGTTGTAATTGTAACAGAGGAGTGATTTCTTCCTGTAATACTTTGACAAAGTGGTTCTAAATGAATGTAGAAAAAAAAAAACTAAACTCAGAGGCAAAATGATTTCACAGTGTGGTGAATGGTGCTAATGACAGATGTTTTGTGTTCTTTCTTTTGGGTCCATTAATCCTGTCCCTGTCTTGCCTTTGATTTAAAAAAAGGAAAAAGAAAAGGTAATATACAACAAACCCGGGGAAGGGGAGGGATGCTGACGAGGCCCCGACCAGCTTGCTTTCCAGCATCTTTTTCCATGTTTGTCTGGTGTCTTAGGTTTAGAAGTAGAGAACTTTCTGTATTTGGTTTCTCCTTAAAAAAAAAAAAAAAAAAAAGTCGTCCAATCTTTGTGTCTCCTTCTTCCCTTTCGAATCCTTCCTGCTGCTGATTCTGACGCTGACTGTGCTAGATTGTAGCATTCTGCCTGCGTGAGAGATAAAGTAGACATGCGTGTTGGGGCAGAACTGCATGCTTGTTTCCATCCCCGGCTGTTTGCCTGGGTTCCTGACTGATTCTTGGTGTTTGTCCAGGCGTGCCGGTCAGCAGCCGGGTGTCCACCAAGATCCAGCAGCTGTTGAACACTCTTAAACGGCCCAAACGGCCGCCGCTCAGCGAATTCTTCCTTGACGACTCAGAGGAAATTGTAGAAGGTGAGTCCAGTCAGGGAACAGGGGAACGTTGCTTGGATTGTCAAAGTTGGTTTTACAAAAGTGTACAATCTGTTGGAGGTGTCCTTCTGTTCTGAATGTCTTAATTTTTAAGTCAAGCATGAGCACAGTGAATGTTCATGCCGAGCTAATAAACACGTCTTTAGCTGGTAATTGGCACATATTCATTTTAACAAATGTTTTCTTGCTGTTCTCCCCTCCTTCATGTCCAGTTCCAAGGCCAGATCCCAACACCCCGAAGCCCGAGGGGCGTCAAATCATCCCGGTGAAGGGAGAGCCTCTGGGAGTGGTCAGCAACTGGCCTCCCGCCCTGCAGGCCGCCTTGGCCCGATGGGGGGCCACGCAAGCTAAGAGCCCTGCCCTCACTGCCCTGGACATCACTGGCAAACCCCTCTATACACTCACATATGGTGAGTGTTGACGATAGAAACTTTAAATTAATCATTTGTTCAATTTTTGCTCCCCAAACCCACGTTGACGTGTTGTTTTTTTTTTGTCAACTTTATCCAAATTTGATATTTATGACTTGTATATAAACTGGTTGTTTGTCGATTTACCTTAACGCAATGGTTAAAAAAAATATACTTGAAGGAGTATATTTTGCAGTTCATGCAGTGTGCAGCTACGGCGCCCTCTTCACTTTCTCCAATAATGAAACGGCATTCTCCCTCAGGCAAACTATGGAGTCGCAGTTTAAAGCTGGCTTATACTCTGCTGAACAAACTGGGGACGAAGACCGAGCCTGTCCTACAAGCTGGTGATCGGGTAAGAGATGATCAGAGACTCATCTGTACTAAAGTCTAAAAGGAGCACAGAAATGAGACATTTTTCTGGCTCCCAGGTGGCGTTGGTGTATCCAAACAGCGACCCTGGGATGTTCTGGGTGGCTTTCTACGGCTGCCTGTTAGCTGAGGTCATTCCTGTCCCCATCGAGGTGCCGCTGTCACGTCAGGTAAATATTTATGCAGATGCTTAAATAAACTACCCTCAAGAGCCTTGGTTATTTTAGACGTTTGAGTCCCTCAGTTTAGCAGTATGTGCGTCTGAAAATGGTTTTTTTCATTCCCTGTGTAGGACGCAGGCAGCCAGCAGATTGGCTTCCTGTTGGGCAGCTGTGGTGTGAGTTTGGCGCTGACCAGTGAGGTGTGCCTCAAAGGGCTGCCCAAAACCCCGAATGGGGAGATTGTCCAGTTCAAAGGTCAGCAAGCTCAAAATTTGAAAGACGACATTGTCCGATTAAGACTTCAACAATAAACACTTAAAGTTTTCCAAGTGCTTTATTTTCTGACGCTCGTTTTTTGGGATGTTTTTCCCAGGATGGCCGAGAATGAAATGGGTGGTCACCGACACAAAGTACCTGACCAAACCATCCAAAGACTGGCAGCCTCACATTCCCACCGCCAACACGGACACAGCCTACATAGAGGTGATCTAAGAGCAGGAAACCTGCTTAATTCTGCTTAATTAAGAGCATCACTTAGAGGTTGTGGTTAACTGGTGCCTCTCCACTTGCTTAATGCATCAGACTGACATTTGTTCACCTGTTTCCTTCTGTGACAGTATAAAGCGAGTAAGGAGGGAACGGTGATGGGAGTTGCCGTTTCCAAGATCGCCATGCTGACACACTGCCAAGCCCTGACTCAGGCCTGTAACTACTGTGAAGGTTAGAACTGCAACATATGAAACTTCTCTCTCTCCTGCTTTTTTTTTTATTTTTTATTTTATTTATTTTTTTAAATTTGTATCACCATCAAAATCTGAAGCTAAAACATGACGTTTCCAACACAGGGGAGACGCTGGTCAACGTGTTGGACTGCAAGAAGGACATGGGCCTGTGGCACGGCGTCCTGACGGTGAGGCTGGTGCATCTGGGATGTTTTTCACCTCCGCACTCGGACAAATAATAAAAACTGACGGTGTGTGTTTGTTTTGTCTTGCAGAGTGTTATGAACAGAATTCACACCATCACTGTGCCGTATGCCGTCATGAAAGCCTGTCCCATGTCCTGGGTGCAGAGGGTGCACATCCACAAAGGTTCAGACTGTTTTTTTTAGTTCATACTTTCAGTGTCGGCTTTCATGTTTGTAGTTTTTATGCGTCTTTTTAAGGCGATTTGGATGTAATGGTTTCAAAATCGACAAATATTGGGTGTGGCGGTGGCGCAGGAGTAAAGCATGCGACCTGTTGACCTTTGCTGAATGTCTTTCCACTCCCTCATAACGTATTTTCCTGTCCACTCACTGTCAAATAAAGGCAACTAGAGCCAAGAAAACCTTTAAAAAAAGCATGACAAATATTTGCCTAATTGCTCACAGGTTCAATATTTTTACTTCTTCTGTCTTTGTCTTGTAGCACGGGTTGCCTTGGTGAAGTGCAGGGACCTTCACTGGGCCATGATGGCCCACAAGGATCAGAAGGACATCAACCTGTCTTCTATACGAATGCTAATAGTGGCTGATGGGGCAAATCCATGTGAGTGACTTCCCCTGAGTGCAGTCCCTTTGTAGCAATTAAAAATCAGCAACGTGGCAGTTTCAGGCGATGTTTTGTTGATGTTGTCCCCCGTCGTTTGCTGTCAGGGTCCGTCTCGTCATGCGATGCCTTCCTGAATGTGTTCCAGTCTCACGGCCTGAGGCCGGAGGTCATCTGTCCGTGTGCCACGTCCCCCGAGGCTCTGACCGTGGCCATACGCAGGTATGAACATCAACAAGCTGAATCTGATCTGGTAGCCCTAAAAAGATCAAATTGTTCTTCAAAAGTTGCCAGACGAATAACTATTATTATCATCACTGTGTGAATGGAGTTACTTCAAAAATGTGTTTGAAAGTAGACTTGCTCAGTTTTGAGATCATCTGAGATGAATCTTGGCTTAATTTTGGAGAAAGCATCCAGGGAAACATTTCGAGTATATGTTCTGTGCATCATTTTTTATTAATTTTTTTTTTATTCCCGTCTTCTCTGTAGACCTGGTGCCCGTGGAGCTCCTCTCCCAGCCAGGGCCATCCTGTCCATGGGTGGGCTGAGCCACGGCGTCATCAGGGTCAACACGGAGGACAAGAACTCGGCTCTGACCGTGCAAGACGTCGGCCACATTATGCCCGGAGGTGAGCCCCTGCAGCTGGATTTTACTCTGCGTTTTAACCGTTTTCTTTCTCGCACACGTAGATTCTAAACATGTTCAACCCCAACATTGGCACCTTGTCGTCTGTTCCAGCTCTGATGTGCATAGTGAAGCCAGACGGGTCGCCGCAGCTGTGCAAGACGGATGAGATTGGAGAGATAGTGATCAACTCTCGGGCTGGAGGAACGATGTACTACGGCCTTCCTGGTGTCACCAAGAACACATTTGAGGTCTTTCAGAGTTCAATGTTTATTTTTGCTTATAAACTTGTTGCCTCTGTATTTTATTCTTAAAACATCCAGCATGTCAGTCTTCAGTTTTCTTACCAAAGAGCAGATCACAGGTGGATGTAAATTATAAAATGAGGCTGTGATTCAGTGCTAAACTAACAAATATTGTTGCAAATATTGTCTTGCTAAAAATCATCAATTTAAAAGAGTCACAGACATCATGAACTCATTAGACTAATATATGATGTGTAACATATTAACAAGAAGCTTTCTACAAGTATTTTCTTTATCTTTTAAAAGTTATTTTATTACTTTCACTGCACTCCAAATGTTAACTCTGGAGTCTTTCTGGCGTTTTCTCTTCAGGTTATCCCTGTCAACCAGGCCGGAGCGCCCATAGGAGAAATCCCCTTCGCTCGGACTGGTTTACTGGGATTTGTGGGACCGGTAAGGAGCAGGAGTTTCTCTGTTGGAGGAAAAATAAAGCTTAAATGTCTCAAAGTAAAAAAAAAAAAAAAAAAAAAAAAGGATCGTTAATTGCAGCGGGAGTCACACCAATAAAAACTAAAGATCCCCCACCTCCTCCATTCACTTTTAAAAGAAACCTGACATTTCTCTAAGCTTGATGAGGATATGAAATTGATTAGCAAAAGTAGTCGGGGATCTGCTGAAGAGGTGGAGTGTAAATAATATAATATCATTTGATGTGAAGTATTTGTGCTTACAATTGACCTTGTTCTAAATGTCTCGTTTGTATCATTGTTAGTACAGAGACGTTATATTATCTACTGTTTTCAAAGGAAGTTATGGCAAATATGGTCAGATAGGACAATGTGTTGTTTACATTCTTTCCCATTATATATAAAACAGTACCGCTATTCCCTATTTTATCACACTAGATCCAAGTGCTAATCTGTGTTTTTGGGAAGTAATTGGACTTAGTTTCGCACCTTCTCACTCATTAAGATGATTTTTACACCTCCACATTAGGATGAATGAAGTCCTGGTTAAAACTGTATTTTCTTCTCTTTGCTCCTCAGGGGAGTCTTGTGTTTGTTGTGGGGAAGATCGAGGGACTCCTGATGGTGAGCGGGCGACGTCACAATGCTGACGACCTGGTGGCCACCGCGCTGGCAGTGGAGCCTGTCAAAACAGTTTACAGGGGGAGGTACGACTCTGCTGCCGCCGCTGCTGCTGCTGCTGCTGCTTGAGACCCACGGAGAACAGTCGCCGCTCGTGTCTTCCTGTGCAGTTCTCTCAAAAGAACGCGTCAATCCTGCAAATTGCGCTTTTAATTGCCACCAGGTTGTTTTCATGTCAACAAGCGATGGCTAAAGGTGTGTTTTGGTGTCATCCACTCAGGATTGCTGTGTTCTCAGTGACAGTGTTTTATGATGAGAGGATAGTGATCGTGGCAGAGCAGAGACCTGACGCCAGTGAGGAAGACAGCTTCCAGTGGATGAGTCGAGTACTGCAGGTAATTTACTACATCTGGCTCCACATCGAGCATCGAGTTCATCCCCTATAGGAACTACAGGGCTGGGAGATGATGTTTGCTCCCTTGCAAATTCTTTCTGTCTTGATTTTTTTTTTTTATTTCACACTTTTTAATCTTTTGTTTTAGTAAACTAAAGTTTTAGCACATCAAGGAAATATAACATTAAATATGTTAATTTTGCGTCCTGCAGGCCATCGACAGCATCCATCAGGTTGGCCTTTACTGCCTCGCTCTTGTGCCAGCCAACACCCTCCCAAAGACTCCGCTGGGAGGAATCCACATCTGTGAAACCAAGCAGAGTTTCCTGGACGGTAACCTGCATCCCTGCAACATCCTCATGTGTCCGCATACGTGTGTAACAAACATGCCCAAGCCTCGACAGAAACAGCCAGGTGAGCCTTCATCTTTTACAGCCTGTAATCTGTATGGCACTGTGGCTAATAGATGATAATATTAGCATGTTCAGTTCTGATCCATTCCAGTCGTTTTGATTCAGTTCTGTTATATATTTAGGTAGTTACTTTGGTGGGGATTTGAGCCCAAATTTGTACTAGGGAGTAGTTTTGTGTGTAATCCGGCAGTGTGACCTTTTATTTGTGCTCATTGTAGTTTTCGCTCTCGTTTCTGGTCTCCTCAGTGGATGTTGGTCCGGCTTCTATGCTTGTTGGGAACCTGGTGGCGGGGAAGCGGATCGCTCAGGCCACGGGCCGAGAGCTGGGCGTGGTGGAGGATCAGGACCTCACTCGAAAGGTAGCACTCACAGACTTATGTCACTATTCAACACAATGTCAAACAGGAGTGTAGGAAGACTTTGTGGCAGAAGGTCTTGCTGTTTTAAGCCGCCACAAAATGTCTTTCCCAGTTGCAGCGTGACTTTAATCTGAATGTAAAATACTTGGTCAGACATGAATTAAACTTTTGTCTTCGGCTTACCCTTTCTTTAAACACAATTTATGATTGGTTGAATTTACTTTCAGCGCTTTTTTTTTCAGCTACAATATCTGTTTTATAGCTTTCACTCTAGAATAAAGGGATATTTCACAGATTTTATGAAATCTGAACTTTATCTCGTCATCTCCGATTCAAAATTAGTGAAGTTTTTAGACTGATTAAGCTTAAGCAGATATGTATTGCCTTTACTTTATTTGTAAAAGATAATGTGTATAGATAGATAGATAGATAGATAGATAGATAGATAGATAGATAGATAGATAGATAGATAGATAGATAGATAGATAGATAGATAGATAGATAGATAGATAGATAGATTCAGGCAAAATATACAAGTGTCCTGTGATGCATATCTAAGAATGCACAGATCTAATCCTTTCTGACATTCTCTTTTTATGCATTTGCTGTTTGTGGAAAAAAAAAAAAAACTTCCCATGACTGAGATCCAGTGATCTCTCTCAGTGTGACACATGCTGTGTGTTAATGACTCTGATGTGCATCCAATGACTCATCTTAGTGTTTCCAATAGGTTTTTGACTTTAGTTTTATTTGAAATATTGATAAAGTCCTGTGTCCTTCTCACGAAGCTGATGTTCTGTATTATCCTATGATTATAAAGTATTGCTATAGTCATTCCTCTCTAAGGTGCAGTTTATTTCAAGGTGATGTAGCGTCACTGAAATTGATCCATTTTTGAGTGAAAGTGAAATGAAGCAGTAAAAGACACTGGTATCCAGATGTGTTGAAATAAAACTGATGCATAACTTTGAAATGCTCTGAATCTATTATCAAAGTATGTGTCTTGGAAATTGGATGCTGATGTCTTATCCTCAACCTGTGCTGTTGTTTTGCTGGGCTACAGCTCTGTATGTGGCCCACCATGATGGTAAGGCTCTAGTCTGGCCCCCACCCCCTGCCCGCCTCTGCTTATGCTGCTTTCTGTCAGTTTCCTGTGCTTCTGCAGCTGTAATAACCCTGACCTCCGCCCCCCGTCCAGCTACAGCTCCACACAAACCAAGCTAACTGTCCTGGCTGGCTCCTCGTCCAACAGGCTTCATCATATACTTCATCATCCAAAGTGGAGTTTGAAGTCGCTCAGGGTGCAGAAACAGAAGAAAACTTGAATTAAACGATTACTGCCAGTCTGTGCTCAGCGAGGACCGCTTTTTGTTTCAAACGTGACCCCCATGTTTGGGAGCGTATCGGTGTGTGCGCCTCGGCTTCCTGTCGTCAGTGTGATGCTCCCACATGCAGCATGGCTTTGAGTGGTCAGAGCTGCAGCCTGCATGTTGATTCAGAGCACGACATGTTGTCTGACTGGTGAGCGGGTCTCCCGAGGACGCTGCCGACTAACGACGCAGTAACTCTGCTCGGTGTTTTTGTGTGTCCGGAGAACTTGCCGTTTTAGTTTCTGTGTTTGTATTTTTTTTTATGTGTGGCCTTACATACGCCTGTCTTTGTCTGTAAGGGAATTGTTGGATTGATGTTCTTGCCTTCTGTGATTATTTTTTGGCAGATGTTTGGAAATGAAGATGATGATAACTGTGTAGTAACAAAATATTGAGAGAATTGTTAATTGTAGGATGTTTTCGTTTAGAAATTTTATTTTAAGGCAGTCATGCTTTCCCCCCCACCCCCTCCTTCCAGTGTGACCGTCCACTTGCTAAAGTAACGTTTTAGGTGTTCCTGTGATGCTGTCTGGGTTTATATGGGAGGTCAGCAGCAGAACAGGATGTCTTTGTTGCATTTGTAGTTCCTTTTTATCAGTAACATGAAAACAGCAGAGGCTGTTTTTCATGTTCGCTGTCTGAGGGGGGTACTTTTTATACTCATTCCCCTTGCATTTTTAATCATTATATTACGTGTATTTCACTGGGATTTAATGCAACAAGCGCAATGTAGAGCAGGATTCTGAAGTGAAAGGAAAATAATGCATAGTTTTCAAGATTTTTGTAAAATACAATCTGAATTTGAAGTTGTACTTAGCCCCCTTTACGTGACTACACCTAAATGAAAATTAGTGCAACTCATTGCCTTCAGTTGCTATTTAACAGAAAAATTTTGGTTGTTATAAATGTTTAGTGATACTATAAGTCTCGTGCCTTTGGGCTCTAAGGACGTCAGATGGCCAAGCTTGTCGAGAGGCATTAGGATCTTCTGTTGAAGTCAACCTCGATTGTTCAACTGCAGCCACGTTTTGTCCGTGTTAAAGCACCATGTGCAATCAGATGCAATATTTTCACTAAATGCTTAAATGGAAGTAATCATTTTTTCCACTATATCTGGATAGACTACTCTATGCTTGCAGTGAAACTCCAAGAAAAGATCATATTGCAATTTTGGGAAGTGTCCCTGCAGCGCCAAAAGCAACTTCGACTGGATAAAGCGATGAGAAATTCTTGTTAGGGCGTCCCAACCCCAGGGACGTAAACACAAATGAAAATATGTGGCGAGATTTAAAAAACGATTGCTCTTCATCCAGTCTGCCTGAGCTGGAGTTAGTTTGAGAACAGGCAAATATTTTAACACTTTTTTCCTTTTCTGACTTGAGTCTAAAATAAACTACACACAATACTAGGATAAGTAGTTAATTACAAGGCTCGACCTGCTTATTAAAAATTGCGCCTCTCTCTGTTTGGTAAAATGACTCGGCTGTTATTTTTCTTTTTTTTTCATTCGTTCTCAGCACCAGTTCCTGTCTGAAGCTTTGCAGTGGAGAGCCCAAGTCGACCCTGACCACGTTCTCTACGTTCTGCTCAACTCTAAGGTAAGATCGGACACACTTCCACAAACGCAACACTTCGTCACGGAGTTTCAGGATGGCTTTTTGTCGCGATCCATGATGACCAGCGTGTCTTCTCCGTCGTCTGCTGCAGGGTGTCCCGGTGTGCACGGCAACATGCGCGCAGCTTCACAAACGAGCGGAGAAAATCACAGCCACTCTCCTAGAAAGAGGAGGCCTCAACACGGGCGACAACGTGGTGCTGCTTTATCCCCCAGGTGAGCCGCAAAGAGCCAAACGATGCACATTGCTTTTGTGTCGCCTTTCTGGGTTTCGCCTGTTTTGAAATTAAACTTGTCGAGTTTGTGTATGCCAAAGGGTTTTCGTTTACATTCTGTTTCTCCACCGCAGGTATTGACCTGATTGCTGCCTTCTACGGCTGCCTCTATGCAGGGGTGATCCCCGTGACCGTGAGGCCGCCGCACCCCCAGAACCTGTCTGCTACGCTCCCCACGGTCCGCATGATCATTGACGTGAGTGCAGTCCGTGCTGCAGAAATGTGAAACACAACAACTGTTGCAGAATCTGTCTTTGAATTGAATCCATACTGGGCACCACCCAGTTTCCCCCGATTGCATGTTTTGTTTTTTGTTTTTTTTCTCCTTTCAGCAAACCATCAGTTATCTTGTAAATAATGATCGACCCTTAAAGCAGAGTGTGTGTTTCTGCCAGAATGACCCTGTGTGTTGTGTGGTATGTGTGTGTCCTCCTCAGGTGAGCAAAGCAGCCTGCATCCTCACCACTCAGCCTCTCATGAGGATCCTCAGGTCCAGGGAGGCCGCCGCCAGCGTTAACGTCAAAACGTGGCCGACGATCATCGATACAGGTGCGGAGCGCCGCCGCGTGTTCAGACCGAGGACCGCACTAAGGCAGAGGAATCGCTGCAGAATGGAGCCGCTTCCTGAATCTTAACACTTTTTCTAAATCAGCTCTGAATGCAAAGTGTTAACACAGGAACACATTTGTCTTTTTGCCACTAGGTGTCGTTTTCCCTTCACTGCATTAGAACAAGATCAATGTCTGTTCTGTAGTTTCAAATGAGTGGCAAAATTGTGTGTGTGTGTGGGGGGTGGGGGGGACATCCTACTGATTATCCACCACACAGCAAACACATTTTAAAAATGTGATTAATTAAAATAAGTTTAATATAAGATCATTTTGCCTCTCCTACCAGATGATCTTCCCAGGAAGCGTCCTCCACACCTCTACAAACCTCCTACTGCTGAGATGCTGGCCTACTTGGACTTCAGTGTGTCTACCACAGGCATGTTGACTGGAGTCAAGGTAAACAAAACGTAACATTCCTTAAAGTTACGCTTTGTAGCAGCAAATGTTTCTGTGAATAAAAAAAAAAGTCAAATTTTTAAAAAGCAAAAGGTGAATGAGGATGTATTTAAACGAGGCTTAAAGGTTTAAAATAAGAAGTAGGAATCTATGTGACGTGAACTCCTTGTTTGTAAATGATCTAATCAATACTGTGTAAATTTTAACATAGCAATCCAAAATGCATCCGGTGGATTTTCAGAACCCTTGACGTTCAGTTTCAGGGCGCTGAAAGGGTTTTCCGCTGATGATTCTTCTGTCTTGGTCCTTCATTATCCGCCTGTTTCCACACAGTAGAACAGCATCTTTGATTTAACCAGATTTTTAGCAATGCTTCAGTTTTTTTCCTTGTTGTTTAAATGTTCAGTTTAAATCACGACGATGGTCCTAATTATGGCACAAATGGAGGAAAAAATGTCAAGCCTAGCTCTTCCCTCATAAACATGTTTTGAAGAGAGAATTGTGTTTATTTCACCTAGAAGTTTCTGACAGGATATGAGACCAACATCTTAAAATGCATATGCGGTCGAGCAGAGTGTGAGAAATCAGTAAATCCTCCATGAAGCTTTGCTTGGTGCCGTTTGCCTTGTTGCAAGAATGAAAATGTTTAAACAAACCAAACTCTGTGAATTTCTCTAGATGTCTCACGCGGCCATCAGCACTCTTTGCCGCTCCATCAAGCTGCAGTGTGAGCTTTACTCCTCACGCCAAATAGCCATCTGCCTGGACCCGTACTGCGGCCTGGGCTTTGTCCTGTGGTGCCTCTCCAGGTACACACACACACACACACACAATATGTTGCTCTTTCTTTAAAAATATCTCCTATGAATGGTTCCACCGATGCTGCAGCTGATCTGTTTTTTCTTCTTCTTCTTTTTGCCTCAGTGTTTACTCAGGTCACCAGTCTATCCTTATTCCTCCGCTGGAGCTGGAGACCTCGCTGCCTGTGTGGCTGAGCACGCTCAGTCAGTACAAGATCAGAGACACCTTCTGCTCCTACTCCGTCATGGAGCTGTGCACCAAAGGCCTCGGCACGCAGACCGAGGTGCTGAAGGTCAGTGTCGCGCTCGACACTGAGCGACAAGAGGACGCTTTCACACGTCTTTTCTGCACCTTTGTAGCTGATTGGGTTTGTAAATGTCAGAGGTAGGAGGACTAGAATAGTTTGGGGGAAAAAAACAAACATTTGTGTTTAATCTCTTAAAAACTGTTTTATGTGCAAAATAGCTGAAACATTTTTATACTCAGTGTAAATTATTGATTATTTTAATTTCTGAAAAGGACAGATAAAAGTACAGACAAATAAAGCATTTGTTAAAAAAAAATCACACTATAAACCTAGATGATAAAAAGAAAGATTAGCTCAGAAAAAATTGCATTCACACAGTGCAAATCTGAACATGCAACCCGAGTAGGTAAGCCACACATTGAGAACAAATGTAAAGGAAGAGCATTGAAACAGCAACTCTGGCCCAAAGATTATCCACCGTTTTCTTTCACGCTGTTTGCCGTTTCCTCTGTCTGACGTTTTCAGCCATGTTGTTGTAAAGTTCTTAGCGTAAGCACAGAGATACGGAAAAACAAAAAGAGATATGATCTGTTGTTCTTGTGGTTTCATGCAGGAAGTTGGTGAGCATGCATAAAATGGGTCACGTCTTCATCCATTATAAAAAAAATTCTTTGTCAAACCCAGAAGTGCCACAAAAAACTTTAATGGCTTTTAAATGTCTCATCTATTGACTCTAGAAACAAACACTTAGGTAAATTATATATTAGTGTTAGTCCAATAATTGGGAAATATAATTTAATTAATTTATTTCATCTGTCAGTCTTATCAGAGTTCGTGGGCGGGGCCAACAACACTCTGTTCAATAAAACTGATCAGAAGTTGCTGTGCAGGTTAATCAATCAGAAGCTCAGACTAAATACACACATGATAAATGTATAAAATATAATTAAATACAGTTTTATTATATACTGGCTTAACAATTTAGTTAAGGAATTTCAAATGCATTTAATTACTCATTTCATAAATTATTAAAATATTTAAAGAATTATAGCTAAATGTATTAAATTAATAAATTATAAAAAAAATTATTTTGATTATAACAGAGACGTAATTCATTCATTCATTTCTATTTAATGCTTTCTGGCACTAATTGATAATTGGACACGGCAATATTTTAAGTATTTCTAAAAATAAGTTTGTCTCACAGGAACAACAGGCAGAAAAAAACCCCTCCATTTTGCAAAAATAACCATCTTAATGAATACTGGTTTTGAATCCAAATATGACATTTTTTTTAAATAGGAAACTTGTTATATTCTTGCACACAGGGGGCTATTTTTGTATTTCTATATTTTTGTGTGTGTGTGCATTGCTCGCCGTGCGACAGTTTCTGCCATGAGCTGCGTGTGTGTTTCAGGCTCGGGGTCTCAACCTGTCTTGTGTGCGAAGCTGTGTGGTGGTGGCTGAGGAGCGACCCCGCCTCGCGCTCTCGCAGTCCTTCTCCAAGCTTTTCAAAGACCTGGGCCTGTCGCCTCGGGCCGTCAGCACCGCCTTCGGCTCCAGGGTCAATCTGGCCATCGGCCTGCAGGTGAGCTCCATGCCGCCTTAACCGAACTCTTTAGCTGTTTAGTTTGAGCCACTGAGCTCAGGTATTTCTTTCTGTTCCTCTAGGGAACTTCTGGACCAGATCCCTCCACCGTTTATGTTGACATGAAGTCCCTGCGTCACGACAGGTGGGAGCAAACGACTCGAAGATGACTGTAAACAAGTATAAACTTTATAATTTCTTTTATTTGTTTGATTTCAGAGTGCGACTGGTTGAAAAAGGAGCGCCACAGAGTCTTCCGCTCATGGAGTCAGGCACTGTGAGTGTTTACTGATGAGTAAACGCGTCTATGTGTTTCCTTCAGAGTTCAATACGTCTTGTGTTTTCCTTCTCAGATCCTGCCAGGAGTCAGAGTCATCATAGTTAACCCAGAGACCAGGGGCCCGCTGGGAGACTCGCATCTTGGAGAGGTGAGTTAGCTGAGAATCTTACGAGGAAACCCTTACATTTTCTCTTAAATTGGTTTCAGATTCACATACTGAAATTTTTAAGTCATAAAATGAAATATGACACAAGACATGTTACAGTGACGACCCCCCGTGTGTTTGTGCAGATTTGGGTGAACTCCCCTCACAGTGCCAGCGGCTACTACACCATCTACGGAGAGGAGAGCCTGCAGGCGGATCATTTCAACACCAAGCTCAGCTTTGGGGACCCCCAGACCCTCTGGTCCAGGACGGGATACCTGGGCTTCATCAAGAGAACGGAGCTGCTGGACGCAAGCGGAGGTGGGACGGCTTTTGATGAAAGTGGCGTTTTGGTGTTTAAGTTATTTTACTTTCCAGCCAGAAATGACGTTTCTCACGGTGAACTGTTCCAGATCGCCATGATGCCTTGTTTGTTGTTGGCTCTCTGGATGAAACTTTGGAGTTAAGGGGGCTGCGCTATCACCCCATCGACATCGAGACGTCTGTGTCCCGAGCTCACCGCAGCATCGCAGAGAGGTGAGGGTTTCATGCTGATTAGCTTTTAGCTACAGCAGCAAACTGACTTCTCTCTGTCTTATCTTTAGTCACACTGATTCCTACATTAGCATCTTCACAGGCCTGCCTAAAGAAATTAGCTGATGCAAATCGCTGCTGCTCGCCTTCTCACTGAAACCAGGAAGATAGAGACATCACCCTGGTTCTAACGCCATCTCATTGGCCGCCTGCAGATAAAAAAATAGATATTATCTTAACCTTATTTGACCAGGTTAAAAAAAAAACCCATTGAGATTAAAACCTTCCTTTTCAAGGGAGCTCTGGCGAAGAAGTAGAACACACACACACACACACACACACACACACGCACGCACACAAACTAAATACTGTTGTTGATTTATAAATCACCAAATAGCTTAGCACCAAAATATATTAGAGATCTACTGTTCCTTCCAGACCAATCAGGGCTTCCGGGTTCTGGTCTTTGCATCCACAGAACCAGAACCTAACATGGAGAAGCAGCCTTTGGTTTTTCTGCTAAGCAAATCTGGAACAAACTTCCAGAAAACTGCCAAACTGCCGAAACACAGAGTTCCTTTAAATTAAGCCTTAAAACCCACCTGATCATTGATCCTTATATCTTGCTTGATGACTGTGTTTGTCTTTCTGGTGCACAGCGCTGTGTTTACATGGACCAACCTGCTGGTGGTGGTGGCAGAGCTCAGCGGCTCCGAGCAGGAGGCCCTGGACCTGGTGCCGCTCGTCACCAACGTGGTCCTGGAGGAGCACCACCTCATCGTCGGGGTGGTCGTCATCGTGGACCCCGGGGTGATCCCCATCAACTCCAGGGGGGAGAAGCAGAGGATGCACCTGCGGGACTCCTTCCTGGCAGACCAACTGGACCCCATCTACGTGGCCTACAACATGTGAACATGCGGTCAGAAACCGATGCAGAAAACTGAGCCAGGGTCAGAGAAGACCCCCACAGGGACCTGAGGGGTGTGAACAGCAGCTGCAACCCTCCCATCCCCCCTCCTTCTCCACCACGTCAGCTTTCGGACTAAGTTTTAAAAGAGAAAGCGATGCGGGGGATGCAAGCACAGCGAACGTGCTGCTACAGTGAAATGCTTCCCTTTCAGAAACTGATCCTGCTTTCGTTCCACCTGCTCGATTGCTGCAGCCCAGGTTCGCCGAGACTTCTAAGAACGAGGGCGAAACCTTCTGTCCTCCTCAGAGGAAACGTTCACTTTGAAGAAAGTTGATCTTCATCTGCTGTCTGAAGCCCGTTTCTCCCTCGGCAATCCTAAATCATGTTTTAGTTTTTTTTGTTTTGTTTTCTTTTACACATTTTTTAAATAACATACTCCCTTCAAAGACAGAAGACTTTTAATCGTTTAATTCCTTTTGTTCATTCTTTTCTGTGTGTTTTTTTTTTTAACCTCCATACTCTTAAAGACAGGGGGCGCACTAGAACTTCCTTCATCTTTTGCACGTCTTTGCACGTCTGGCTCCATGTCCTGCCTCAAGAAGAGACCCCACTGCCCACATCTGCTGCTGCCGCCGCCGCCGCCGCCGCTGCTGCTGCTTCCACAGGAGCAAATCCACATCAGTATTAAAAGAAAAACAACAAAAAAGAAAAGTGCCACCAGCAAGACCCGTCTCGGCTCTGTGACGTCCCACCAGGCGCACTGCGGTTCTCACCTCCACACCCGTCCTGCTTCAGCCCGCAGGAACGTACGTCGGCCTTCGCTCATCACAAAATGTCCTAAAAATACACTTGAATAACATTTGTGTGTGGAAAAAAGAATAAAACCTCAAACATTCCCTTGCTCACAAACCTGGATTAGAGAAAATAAAACAGATTTCTTGTTTTTCAGTGTGCAAGGACTTGCTGAGTTAAGATAGGATAACTGTGATTGTCTAAGAAGTTTTAGGTTGTTTTTTTTTTTGTGTGTTTGTTTTTTACTTTGAAGCGCCTGTTCTTTGTGGGATCTGCAGATGTTTCTGACATTTAGGTGTGCATGCTTTTTGGAAGTGCAGCAGATGTCTGCATACAGACTAGTAGAAGAAAAATATACAGACATAAGCCAACAGGTCATAAGCACATCAGGAGCAGAGTTAAAGATTTTAGCTGCAGTTTGGGCCTCTTATTAGCCACAACGCTAATTATGTTGACTGAAAACTCTCTTAGAAATCTGCAGCCAGCTAAAGGATCAAAACAGGCTGAGGAAAAGCATGTGGACATTAAAGATCTACTTCCTTCTCATCACACGAGCATCACATGCAATGCGTTAATTCCCACATTACATGATGCTTAGCTCGTTCCAGCCGTGGCTCCTTTATGGGAGGCACAAACCGGCTCATAAATCATCACATTTTCATGACACGTGATGTCCATTTTCCGTCTTAGTTACCCAGCTAGTTTTTCTCAAGGTGCAGATTTGAGCCGTGAGCGGTCGAACCCGAGCGCAGAGGCGAATCTGAAAATCCCAGCAGATTTCACTCGCAGTCCGTAAATAACGTGTAGATGATCAGAAGGCAGGGTAGTGCCTTTTACCTCGGAGACATTTCTGATTTATAAACTATCGAATTTTAAAAGAGAACAACATGCGAGGAGTGCGGAGAAAACTTTTGCCTTATTAAAAACCTGTGGAGCTTCTATGTGATTTTTTTAATTTAGCGTTTTTAAGGAGTTCCACTGAGTCTTGTTCTGGTTTACCTTATTTTCAAGCCTTTTTTTTTTTTTAATTAAAAAAGTCTGAATTGATATTTAAACCAATTCCTTCCAAATCTCTGTGACACTGAGGGGGAACAAAAATAGGAGCAAATCCCTATGAAACCTGCATTTAAAAATGGCAGAAGACTTTAAAGGAAAAAGTACAATAGATAAGGGTTAAAAATGTCTGTATACTGTATTTTAGAAGTGAGATACTGTATTGCTAGTGTTACTGTGTACATGGCGATGGAGTCTGTAGATAAAAACTTGACTGATCTTTCATACTTGACCGGGTTTCTTTCTGCATTGCGTGTTAAATAACGTCTCATTGAAAAAGACAGGGAACAGAAACAACGTGCACTTTCCCAATATCATCTGACGTATGTGAGAGAGTGAGAGAGAGAGTGTGTATGTGTGTGTGTGTGTGTGTGTGTCTGTGTGTGTGTCTAACAGTGATATTTGGCTTTCAAGGTGCAACAAGATTCATCTTCTGTAAGAATCCCAAACGATTGAATTTTTTTTTTTTTTGTAAATGTCGCCTCCACTGTATTTTTACTCTTTCCATCCATCCACGTTTGGGATTTAATATATTTTTAGGGGTTTCATTGATATTTTCCCCTCTGATGCATTTTTCATCCGAAGCTGTTTGATTTCTAAAGCAGCGACACAACCACAGACCACTTTTCACCGAGGACATGTACGCGAGCCAGTCATTTGGTTACTCATGAATAACTGTGTGATAATTGCTTTGTCGCCACTGTTTCACTCCAACGACTTTTAATAAAGTTTTATAATTTCATGTTGGCCTTCAAGCCTTTTCAATAGACCTTGGTGCTATTCAATAAGGTGCCGTACACAGACTTATATCTGTCAACGTCATTGTAGAAAGGTTTCATCCTGGATGTCCTTTTCGGTGTGGAAGTAAACATTTCCGTTTGAGGTCCTAAAGACTTTCACTTTGTCAGAGCTTACGTTGTTTTTCATTGTCAGTTTCTATCAGCTCTTAAGATCTGATGCAAAAATCTCGATGGAAATGATGCAACCCGTCTCATCTTTTTTGCCCTTTTTTAAAAAAAAAAAGTTTTCCACCTGAAAATTCACATCTCACACCTTCAAAGTTGTTCTAAGCACAAAATGTAGAGATGAGGCAAAGAAAAGGGATCATTTCACACAAATAAAAAAAAGAAAAAAATAGTCAAGGGTCCACTGTGTATACCTCAACAGTCTGTTCACTATGCATCGTTCACTTTGCTGCAGCAAAAACACATTCTGGACTAGTCAGTGGTGCGATAACCTCTAACAACATGTTTTACAAAAAATAAAAACACTGTCACTGTCATTGGATGTGTTTCATGTCGAATAAAATTGCTTTGTCAGACATTCTTCTTTTTTCTCTTCTATGTTGATGCTTTTCTGGAGCTTACTAAATACCGCCTTTTTGCCACCAGGGGTCGCTGTTTCTGCTTCTTTATAAAGCAAAACAAAAAACGCCACATTAAGCCAACCCGAGGTCTCTGCCAAGTGGGATTAATGAAGAACTACAGATATTCACACTTAGTAAGGCTGTTTTTTTTTTTTTAACTTAATCTCTTACAATTTTTGTTGCACTATTTCCTTTTAAATATTGCGTTTTCATTATTTGCTGGGTAATTAAACGCGCTTGGACAAACTGTAGTTCCTCGAGTCGCTCTTAAAGTAACGCAAAATAACAGCTGGACTGAATAAAACTTGACTTTTTCAGAGATTCTGGATTTCTTTTAGTATTTTATCCATCAAATAAGGAGTTTAGGTCTGAGATGCTCTAAAATTAGCAGTTGAGAATGATAAATAAAAAGACGACCAAAAAAAGCATTTAGCCATTTAGCTAACGGTTTATGACGTCCAACTGTCCTCAGTGGCCTTTGTCCTGCTGGTGTTAGATTCGTCTCTGCTCCAACACACCTGGATCAAATGGCTGAATTGAATGGCATACACCTCTCCAGACGCCTGCTAATGAGCCATCATTTGATTATGTTAGAGCAGGGATGCTGTGTCTTGGTAGCTTTGTAGCTGTGTCGTACTCCATTTACATGTTCAGATGATGACCTGAACCCTGCTGTTGTTTATAGCCTTACTCTGCTGTAAATGTCTTCACAGCGTTGTCCCTGACCCGTCTGCTGTGCTCCTTGGTCTTCATGAAGGTGTTTTGTTCACTAATGTTCTCTAACAGACCACTGAGGCCTTCAAAGAACATCTGGATTTATAGTGAGATTAAATGGGTGTACTATATTTATTACAGATAAACCGTAAATTAGTCACAACCCCTGGCAGATGAGGGTTTAAAATAACCTTATAATCTTGACACATATTAAACATTGCATATTCTTTCTGTCTGTATAAATGATGTGCTATTTTCAGCTTGTCTATCACATAACATGAAATGTGAAATCCTGATTGAGAGCTGTGATTGCACCCAATGGTGCGTTTGCTAAATACTGACTTGAAAGGAGTGAATATTTATGCAATCAACTATTTCATGTTGCACTTTTTTGGGGGGGGGGAATCAGTTTTCACCTTGACATTAAAGGTTTTTTTTTTTGGGAAATGTTTTAGTCAAAAAAAAAAAAAACCCTCAATTTTGTTGATCATTATGTCTTTGTAAAAAAAAAAAAAAAGCATTAGGTGCAAGCAACCTTTTAAATCAACCGTAAATTATAAATGAACCAAAAATATCGAAATGTTTTTAACCATTTGTAAAATAAAGATAGCATGCACAGCTCATGTTTGCATAGTGGTTTAGTGATTCTGTCTTTTGCAAGACAAAGAGTGAATGTCTCAGAATAACGTCAAGGCAGCAAATATCGGAACTAAGAGCAGACTGCAGAAGAGCCTGTGTGAAGAAGCTCTATCTTTCAGCTGATTTTCTGCTAACCACTTTCCAAATGCGCTGGTTTTCGAATAGACTCCTGGTCTGTGGGCGTGTCCACAGTTCTCCCCGAAGCTTGTCACTCCTATAAGGTAATATCTGTCGTCTTTCTCACTGTAGCACTGCAGTGGACTTCCGCTGTCGCCCTGCACCGCCACCAGGGTGTTACGCTTGAGTAACTGAGCAGCTTAGAAACATACAAAAATATAAAATAATCACCCAACCTGACAAGTGTCAACTCCTCCAGAGAGCATTCCTGCACAGAGCATGTTTTCTGTGATCAGCCCGTTGTACCAGTGTCTCTGGTTGCACCTGAACGTCTCAATGAGCTCCAGCTCAGCTTCCTGCAGCATGTCCACTGCTCCACCTGCCAGAAGCGCAAGCAAAACAACCTAACTTGTCAACATGAAATAAGTGACTGCACAAATATTCAGCCCTTTCAAGTCAGTATTTAGCAGAGTCATATCGTTAACCGCTGTGGGGACGGGTCTCAGTCAAGTTTGCACATCTGAACACTGAAATTTTGGTGGGTGGTTGAGTGGATGGATGGATAGCCAGGAGGCTGTCTAATTGTAAATATGACATGAACAAAAACTTTTATAGTCATATTTTATCATAAATTCATGCTTTTCTGCACACCTGGTGGGGAGAGGGGGATGCCATGGTACCAACCTTTGTAGTTGATGCTCCCCCAGCCGGTGATGAAGCAGTTGCTCAGGTTTAGGGCAACCTGGTGGTTCATGCTCATCGGAACGCAACACGGCTGGATGTAATTTGTGAAGACGAGGGGGCTCTTGAGCATCAGGAGCGCCACGTCGTTGTTGGATGAGTTGAAGTCGTAGTTCTCGTGTATGATGACGTTTTTGACGCCGCGTCTCTGGGATTGAGGCCCAGGCTTGGACAGCATGGTTATTCCCACCAACACGGTCAAGAAGCTGCTGTGCCATCTGGACAGAAAACCAAATCAATCCAACTCTCTGCTGATGATGTTGACGAAGATGCCACATCAGAGCGAACTTGGTTTCGCAATCCCTCTTTTGGTTTTCGTCGCAGACAAGCTCTGTGATTGATTCTTTTGTTTTTTTTCTCTACCACTTTGTATTCTCTGAAGACCGACTGTATTAAGTTGGACTCACATATAATTGTGGTAGCAGTGCGCTGCAGAGACAATCCACTTGGTGCTGATGATCGTCCCTCCACAGAAGTGCGTGCCCAGGAACTGGATGCTGGCCTGCCAGGGCCATGCTCCCTCAGGGGCATCTCGGCCACCAATTATCCGGGATGCCCCAGGTGGCCCTGCCAGTTTCCGCTTCCCACAGCCTGGTCAACAAAATAATAATAATAATAATAATAATAATAATAATAAAAACCTTCTGCCTGAAAATAAAAACCATGCCATGTGTTAGATGAGCTGTTGGTAAAAGTTTGACATACGTTTTTGAATGTGGGACTCAACCACAGAACAAAAGCAAAGTGTCTTGTGAAGATGCTCAAGCTGGCAAGATGCTGTGTTTATCCAAATACTCTACTGATATTTGCTGAAAGGTCGAGCAGAGAGGAAGAAGCCATCCAAAAGCAACGCAAAAAGCCAGATTACTGTTTGCAGATGCACTCAGTGGCAAACACCTTCATTTTTAGAGTCATGTCCTGTGGGGCTAAAGCTGGAGCAATTGCGTCTGGAGGAAAAAAAAGAAAAAAAAAAGGAGAAACTTGCGAGCCTGAGAACATCTTCTGAACTGTGAAGTAAGGGGCAACTAGTCCACAATGTCCCACAATGCTTTAAGGAATTGTATAGTCTATAGTATTTTCTGAAAGTAAACTAAATCGTGAATAATGCCTACTTTAATTAATTATGTTAGTTTTATATCGAAACTTGAATTGAGTTGTTAATAGGTACCATGTCTTACGTTCTCTTCCTTCGACAGGTTTTCTTCAGGATTTGGGTCGGAGGACCGAGACGGGCCATGGCAGAAGGTTCATTTTGTCTTGGAAAAATGTTCTGGATCAATGTTGAAAGACCCAGTGATGATCCATTTTTCAGTTTTCTGCTAAAGCACACTATGTTTATTTTAATAAGTATCCTGGGTTTTAAGTGTCTGACACAATCCTCTTTAATCAGATATTGCTTCCCCAGTGTATTATAAGCCTGGTGGGCCACCAGGCTTTACTTGTGCCCCCAACAGGCTAGGCAATGCTTTTTTATTTAAGTCTTTTTAAATGTTCGCATTTTTTAAGACTTTGTAGTTGGTGTTCAGGCGTTAATCTTCCAATCTCTCAATGACACATGATTATCAAGTGATATTTCCAAGTTTCCTGTCAACTTTAAACATTTTTTTAACTCAAAAACACGATGGACTGTTGGATGAGTGACTGCCCTGGCGTCCAACCACCGTTTTCTGGGGGAATCCTTGAAAGTCTTTGTAAAATTGATCTCACTTTACATACTTATATTTGATAGAAGGTTTGAAAATCTCCAAAAAACATATAAATAACAACAGTTGACATGTCCTATGGTTGCTATGGAGACTTAGTGACCCAACAGGCCTCTGTTTTTTGCTATTTTCTTTGGCAATTGTGTTTGTGTAGCCTACATATTGTTACCTGGGTTCCCAAAAAATATGCACAACTCTCTGATGATGCATATGAACAATGGATCATCAGATAGATGGAACTGAGTTGTTATTTGGGATCCGGTCCCAATTAACAACTCAGAAACACGGAATTGGGACAACTCTGATTCTTTTTTTTTTTTTTTTTTTTTTCCTAAGATCAAAAAGAGCAAAGGTGCTATAACTCTGCACTTCTTTTTCTCTCTCTCTCTTTTTTTTTAAAGATAAGCATTTAACCACATAACTTTCCAACCCGTGTTTAACTTACTCTGATTTGAAGCTGCTGCGGCCAAACACAAGATGCTTGAAAACTGTAGCAAAAACTTCAGACCCATCATCAGTTTGACCCTTCTGGACTTTTTTTTTCTTTCTTTCTTTCTTTTTTTTTTTTAAAGGTAAACCAAAACAATTCCTCCATTGACGTCATAATCACTTTAAACTGATTGGTGAAATCTTAAACACGTTAAACTCGTACAGTTTGTATTTTCCTGCAAGAAGAAAGTTTCACTCAACTGAGTGGAAGCTACATTTCAGCATATTTCTTCAAATACAAAGTTTACTGAGTTTTTATTTTATTTTATTTTTTTTATTTGTTTAATTAGTTACATCCTCTTATGTAAATCTAAATTATATTTAACGTGATTTATCCCGTATAAAATATTTTAATTTATTTTACTTCCTTTGAGCACGATCATGCAGTTTGCCTGCCGTAAAACTGAAAGCCCAGAAACAATAAAATAAATTCCTTCACTGAACTCGGTCGACTCGCACTCAGTCAACCCGTTCAGTCAGATAGATAAAAAAAAACCACACACACAAAAAAAAAACAAACAAACAAAAAAAAAAACTTCGTGTCTCCTGGTCGGGATAATCAGTCGCGCTGTGGGGTTTTGCAGGAGCTGCAGGCCTGAATGACCTTTAGGATTTCTACTCCGAGGCGCGCTCCCCGACACTCCCTCACATTCTGCTGAGAGTCATCAATTATGCAGGGAAGCTGCTGCTCGCACTGAGGGGGGAAGATAGCAGCAACAATATGGCGACAACCGCAGTTCCTCCTCAACCTTTCCCACATCTGCAGTCCTGCACCGACTCACCGGATTCACTGTAACCGTCGCATAAGTGAGTATCATTCATATTTGCAGCCGGTTTGGGATGAATCGTGGCTGGAAGGTGGGGTTTTTTTGTTCCTTCAGTGGGCTGAATGTCGCAGCGCCGCTCGCTGCTCCGCGTCTTCTCTTTTTTTTTTTTTAAATATATTTATATATATATTTTTTGGAGCGGGAAGGAAGAGGGTGTCAGCGCCTTCTGACAAATCTGTCATCTGCATTAGAGCAAAGGGAAGATTTATATTTATGTCTGATTTAGTGTGGATTATGCGGAAACGTTGGAACCCGTCGAACAGTTTGATTAAAAAAAAAAAAAAGAAGATTTCTAAGTGAGGTTTGGTTTGGTTCAGGGCGCAGCCTGCATTGAAAATCTGCAAATTTCTTGCATCCTTCTTTTTGTTGTTGTTTGTTTGTTTCACTCTTGGGAGTCCAGGATGATGCATTCGAAGCAGAAGGCTTTCAGAGCAAGGATGTGTAAGTATAGCCATGATGACAGCGAAGAAATGCCCGGTCCTCCAGGTGATCTTAGTGTGGCTGTAACCGTCCTCAGCTGATCTAACGGGATGTCTTCATGCTTCAAAACTATATGTGCTGCTTTATTATTTACCCCCCCCCCCCCCCCCCCCCCCCCTCTCCACACTTAACCTTTCCCTCTCGATTTTTTTTTTTT